CGCCTTGTACACACCTCTAGAAATGTGTTCTGTGTAAATGAATTTTACCTCTATTCCATCTTGAACAAATGTATTTAATAATTATAATTTTATTTAATACAATTTAATATTTATAATATTTATAATTTATAATAATTATAATTTATTTAATATTTAATATATCAAGTAGTGAGTAAATGACACATTCATTGGTTTTCAACGTTATAGGATATGCTGTCTTAAACCATAGGTGTACTTTATTACATAGTAATTATAGCAAGAGTTTTCACCTAATGTTTTTGCTGAATTATTATTTATTACCAATTACAAATAAAAAATATTGCTAAGAATCTATTTATTTTATTTCTTGAAAGCAATATTAAAAAACTTTAATAATGATCGGCATATTATAAAATTATCCAATCAATTTTTTTATGGATCAACCAATCACAGATAAAGCCCGCTATGTTTGTTTACTCTTTGTCCCCCAATAAAAAAAAATTAAATGTAAATGTGATCAAAAACAAATTTCTATAAGCGCGTGAATAGTTTCCAGATTGCATAATCAAGAAAAAATATTCCAGCTTTCAAAAGACAATGTCTAGCAAGTGGTGTGCTTACTTTAATGAAACCGATCCTAAAAAATATCATTTTCTGGGCTTTTATGAATACCGTTCGAAGCAAGTGGACTTTACCTTATCTTTTCAGAAGGAATCCTACAAACTCCAAATGGATCTCGACAATCTCATGAAGGATGGTTCAGTGGAATCAAAGGAAACTGCTAGTCGGCTGATCAAACTTTTTAAAGAAAGTATTTTATTTGATTTTTTTTATAATTATTTTCTGCATAAGTGATTAGCAGAGGGAGCTCCTATAGCTATGGTAGACAATGGAATGCTGTCTACCTTACGGTCGGAATGTCCGCTATTGGAAAATGGAACCCTTACAACTACGGTGGACAATGGAATGCTGTCTACCTTACGGTCGGAATGTCCGTTGTACCTGCTTTCTGCAGTGTATTAATTCCGCGTGGACCAATAGAGACCATACTTTAACTAATCATATTAATTCTTTATTTTTTAAGGGCCATCGTAATACTTTTCGCGATGTCAACGCTTTTTGGAATAAAATTGAACTAAATGAACAGCTACAGGATCAGTTACAGGCTGCAGAGGTTATAGTTTACTTGCTTGTTCTAATGGAAGTTGAGCTCTATATTAATTTATTTCTTTTCTGACTGCAGGTTGAAGCTACTAGTTCGTTAATAAGTATCTCCACAAAAACTCTTACAACAACAATTGGAAACATTCACTCGGCTATTAAAAATGTTAACGATACATTGGTATGAAATATTGTTGATAATAAACATTCGTTTACCTTACTAATATATTATTCACAGACAATAACAGGAGCAGAAAATACCAAAAAACGACCAGCTGAAGAGCATTCTCCTGTTATTATACCTCATCCCAACCTTCGCAATACCACTCCTCCTCCATGTTATAACAGCAGGGATAATTCTTTTGATGATTACAATGAAGAATCAACTGAGGCCTCTCCAGTAATGTTTTTTTCATTTCGTTTGTCATATGATGTGCATAAGCTCTTTTCTAATTTGCATTGTGATACTGACTTTATATTTCTGTAGGATGATGATGAGAATGAAAATGCATCAATTGAGATTCAACATTTTATCTCAAAGATGGAAAATGCAAAACATCGTCTTTTTGATTATCGTATTGTTAATATCTCTGAAAAAAATTTAGTTGATCCAATAAACAAAGTCTTCTCGAGTGATGATAAGGAAAGAATGAGAAAAATATGGGAAAAAGTATGTATTTGTATTGGCTATCTCATCAGCTTTAGTTTAATGATTTTGCATTTTTTTTTTTTTTTTTTCAGATGGAACCTTCGATCGAAGAGAAAAAGAATACAACGCGTAGGTCAAAATGGGATAAGAGTATCAAGCCTCTAATAAACAAGTATGCTTCCGCCATTGAAGTGAAGTCGGATTCGGTTTTTGATGATGATGTTCGGCAACAGTCAACAAGAGTTGTTTTCGAAATACCATTTGATAATGAATTTGATTTCAAAAGACATTATGATATGTTATGGGTACAGGATGTTTATCGTAGATTGTATGTATATTTTACATGTTATTATTTAGTATTATTCAAACATATTCAATTAATTTCCACATTTCATTTAGCATATTTTTGTTTGCATCACCTTTCAATATACTTCGTGATGCGAATACACAGGAGATAGCTTACAGAGAATCATTTGTCAATCCTTTAATCCCAAAAGCATTTGACGATCTGAATGATAAGATTAGGTTCCAAATGTATGTTATTATGATGCCATGTATAATTTCATTTATGTCTGATATAACGAATTTTTGGTTTACTAAATACAACATTTATTCAGTGGAGAGATAGAAAGTACCATCCGTAAACAGCACCGAAATCAAACAAGAGGCCAAAAGCCTCGAGTTAGTCTTGGATCAAAACATGACGGTATCCTAAAGATTTATATGAATGCAACTGAAATGGAAATCGGATTTTTAGAAGTGGTAGGAAATGCAATAGATGTAGATCTTACAGGATATTATGAAGATATGGAAAAATTATTCAAAGGTTTGTGTTCATGTGTTTTGAGGATTTTACACAGTAAAGCTCACAGAATCTGTTTATCTTTGTAGCAATGCATATATCAATTTTTTACCAACGTCAACATCACTTAAGACGTAATGCAACAAAAGAACAAATCCTATGTGTTCAAAGCTTTGGTGTGCTTGTGTACTGTACGTAGCATTTGTGTTGTATTTGTTATCAATTCAGTTGTTTATCATATTTTGTTTTATATTTTAGAGCGTGAGATGACAATATATACAATGCACCATGCTAAAGGTGGCTTGCACATAGTAGATATTCTCACAAATTTTACAATCCCAGATAACAAGGACCAAGCGTATGTGATAGATGAAATCATAGAAAAAGTGTATTTTTTCAAGGTATGGGTTCTGATGATTCCTTTTTATAATGTGATTGTTGATCTAATTTTATATTTGACATTATAGAGCAGGGTCATGGATTATTATTTAAAGTTGCAAGAAATATCACGAAAGACACAAAAATATTCCCCCTCTGACGAAAATCCATTGGAAGCGTCACCATCCAAAAGATCAACACGACAAGCATGATATTATTTCATTAATTAGTATACTGATGATTTATAATAATAATTTGTTGTGTATTTTAATGTTTGATTTGTTGTTTTAGTTGTATTAAGTACAAATGAAGCAATAAGAGAAAAATAATATTTCTAAAAAATTTGGGATTCATTAATATTGATTAAAAATTAGATAACATAGATAGTAACATACATTGGTTATTATATATTAATGAACAATAAAATTCATCTTATTCCATGAGATTTGATACATTTACATCTAACTCAGGATATATTACTTTGTCCCAAAAGATATTTATGATAACCCATATAAGTGTTTTCAGATTCTTTATCTTTTTGAAATTCACATCGAGAAATATTTTCTAAATGGGATCTACTATTACTATTCACTATCTAGTCTATTCTTTTTAAACTAATAACGCAGTCTTGGCTGCTTCAGAGCTTTTCTTTCCTATAAATTATTGCATTTGATATTTCAAAGTAGTCTATTTATGACCATGTTATTTTTTATTGCCCTTAATTAAGTAAAAAAATATAGATATTCTCCGGTACCTGTGGATTTAAAGTAGTGCTTGTACATAGGTAAACTCGATAAGTCGGTCATGGACAGTGTTGGAATTTTTGTCCAATTGGACATTTGGACCTCCATATGGAGGTCCATATGGACAATGTCCACAATGTCCAGATAATTTTAGCCAAATGTCCAATTGGACATAATGATAATGTCTTATTTTTATATTTTATTTGCATCAATTGTAAATTTTTTAATATTATATTAGTATAGTGCATCAAAAATATAATAACACATATTTAAAATAAAATTTTTAATAAAAGAATGAAAATGCAAAAAAAAAAAAATCTAAGATCAATTAATCTGTATGACCTGTAAAAAGAGTTAAATTAATATAAATTGTGAATCAATCAATTCAAGTATAGACAAAATAAATTAAAAAAACATACCACTTAATGAAGATAAATATATAGGAGGCTCAATTTTTTCCAAATCAAAAATATCATTCAACTTCCACTTGGCTTTTTTATTAAGAAGTGGATGTCTTGTTTTCACAATTTGGTCTAAATCTATTGTTTGACCAATAAGTGATCCTAATTCATCATTATAACCATCATCCTCTGTTTCCTCCTCCTCCTCCTCCTCCTCCTCCTCCTCCTCCTCCTCCTCCTCTTCCTCTTCTTCTACCATTTCAATCCATTCATCAATTAAATTTCTCCATTCACGAGGTGATTCAATATCATGTTCAGAGTATTCAAAATCATTATTAAAAAACTCATCATTTCTATCATCATCATCGTCAGAAACCATAAACAATTCATCTGTTTGTTCTTGAATAATTGGAATTGCAATGCTTGTAGTTTTAAATTTTTTGTTTGAATTTTGAATATTTTCTAATCGTTCTAATCTCTGAAATTCTCCTTTCATTTGACTCATAGCAAAGACCTTTTCAGACTATAATAAAAAAATTAGATGATTTAATAATTATAGTCAAAAAATATATAAAAAAATATAAAATTCACATACATCCAAACGATTTCTTTTTTTTGTGTGGAAAAAATCCATTGCAGAAAATAGCCTTTCCACAGAAGCAGTATTTACACATATTGCAAATACTTTAATAGAAAACATACTCAAATCTGGTGTGTAAGCTGAAACAAAATCCCAAAAGCCAAGTACACCATCATTAAATTGTTTTAATGAAATATTATGAAAAGGAAAATTTTGTCTACGATAATTTTGTAATTCACCTAACAAAGTATCAGGAGCTTTTTTAAACCATACACAAAAATAATATATCATCCATTCACTGAGTTTTGCAATAGAAATAGATGTATTATTTTGAAGGAAAATTTTGTCACGATATTCAGGATGAAGAATGAAGGATAATAATAATAATGGTTGCTCCCATATTTGCCAACGTTTTTCTAGACGAATAATCATCCCTGCACCTAAATTTTGGTCAGGATATTCCTTCCACATCTTGTAAAAATAGGCAAAACAATGTAGTACATCATGAAGACGAGCATTATCCGTTTGTAATTTGTTGAGTGCACCACAAAATGGAAGCAAAAGCTTTTCCAATTTTTTAATATCCCTCCACCAATCTTCATCATCAACTATTCTACAGATTTCAAGTGGCATTTTTCTATCATTCTCATCATTTCCTGTATAATTATCATCTGCTTCATATTCAATAGGAGCATATTTTGAAACAAGCATCTAAACAAATATAAGAATTAATTCTTATTGAATAAAAAAACCTTTAATGGTAATTTTTCAAATACCTTTAAAGCAAACTTGGTTCTCAACAAACTGGAGTAGCAGTGGTAATGAGAATTCCAGCGAGTAGCACATGGAAGGAGAAGTGCAAAATATTTGTTATATTTAAACTTTTGTTCATCACGTAACTTTGCCATAAAGTAAACTGATCTGTTTAAGAAAGAAATGATTTGAATTGCCTTTTCAGATGAAACAACTAAACTAGATGATTCTTTAAAAATCTCCCCAACAATTAAATTGGTTTGATGTGCAAAACAAGGACCAAAAAAAACATCACGTCGTTCTGGTGCCAGCCGTTTTCTATAAATATAAAAGTTAAACTTACAAATAATTGAATAAAAGTTTATTTAAAAAAAAAAATACCTTGCTGCTTGATTTTGTGATGCTGAATCAGTAATCATAGCGTTATATTTGATATTTAGTTCATCTAACTTGTCCAAAAAATTCAATGATAATTCTTTTATATTTTGCCATTGCAAACGATTTCTACTCACATCTTCCCCTCCCCAAATTAAAACTTGTCCATGTGAAGTAATTAAAACTGAACCTAAAATCTCCTGCTTTTTAATGTTTTTCCACCCATCAAAGCCTATTGTAACACCAAAAAAATCCTTCTGTGCAGTATCAATTAAACTATTCCTGATTTTATCAGGATTACTATATAGTTAAAATATGACCAGCCAATATTTTATGGCTTGGTAATTTCAATCCTGCAGTTGCAAAATTAAATAATATTTGACTTGATTTTTTGTCAACCCATCTGAATGACCAACCATTATCTATGGTAGAATTCAATACAAGCTTTTCCCAATGTTCTTTATCTTGTTTAGAAAGAGGAATAGAGTGAGCAAAGTAATTACTTATTTTTCTTTTTTTATTACCTGATTTTTCTATAGATAAGGCTGATGATGAACTTGATAAAATTGAAAGACTTGAAGATTCATTGGTGCATATTGAAGATGAAGAATCGAGTTCAGGACCTCAAAATATAAAATTGTAAGTTTTAATTTGCTTAATAATTATATTTATCTCAATAAAAAAAGCTACTAAAAAATTACCACCATCATATTGATTATTCTCATTTCCAGGAAAAAGAATTTTCTCTTGTTCATATTCAGTATATTGTTCCTTGAAGATTGTACAATTTTTTAAGTGAGAAGTTACCAATTTTTTAGTATTTGTTAATTTAGTTTTACAAAAACGACAAAGTGCATAATGATTATATTTATTGGCCTTTTCATTTAGTACTATGATATATTCAGTGAGAGAATGTTTTATGGGCGGCATTTTAAAAAAATTAAACTTAAAATTTTTTTGTGAAACCGGCGATTAATACCCATTTTGACTATATCCAATTGGACCTGGTCCAATTGGACATATGTCCAGACATGAATTGGACCAGGTCCAATTCCAACAGTGTCCAATTGACCATTTTATCCAATTGAACATATGTCCAATTGGACCAGGTCCAAATGTCCAATTAAATGAATTGGACCAGGTCCAATTCCAACACTGGTCATGGATGGCTGGGTATGATGGACCGACTTATCGAGAGAACCGACTTATCAAAAACACGTGACTTTAAATTTAAATAAAATTTTTTGCCGATCATGATTTAGATTAAACAAAAGAAATAAAATCTAGATGCGTTAAAGTATTGAAAATCATATGTTTTATTCTCCAAAACTATAGCTTTTATATGATATAATTTTAGATATTTTATTATGTAAATTTTCGAAGAAAACAAAAATTAGAAATACAAAAAACATCAAATTTTATATGAAAACGGACAAAAATTTTATATGTTTATTGTGAAAAAAAAGAGAAACAAAAAAGAAAATTTATCCTAAATAAATATCCATGCTAGTTTGTATTGAAGAAGCTGCATGTTTTCTACTGATCTTCCATTTTAAATCTCTTAAACCCGAAACAAATGAACTGGCTACTTTTATATCATCATTTTGTTGCAAGTAATCATGCAAACTTTGAATGCATTAATTGCAAGCCATCTAACTTTTTCTCTAAGAACATCCCCTACTTTTGATTTACCAATTCCAAATTCATTTCCAATTTGTTCATTTGTTTTAGTTGGATTAGCAATTTATATTCGCATTATTCTTTTTTTTTAATATTAGTAAGAGTGACCAATTTTCTTCCTGTCCTGCTTCCACTTTACTAGATGATCCTTCAATATTCATAATTATAAGGATTTTATAAATGTAAATGGGATTTTAAAACAATATTTATTTACACTGGTCTTTATATAAGTTGTTTAGAAGATTGTGAAATCAACCTTTTTATACATACAAAATATAATAAAAACATAAATGCATTGTACACTATACAACAAAAAAAATTATTCTTTTTAATTATCGATGAAATAAATGTAATTAATGATATAACTAATGATGATACAATAAAAATAATAAAATAATAATTTATTGTTTGTTCATAATAGATATAATTTTTTACGTCAGAGAATAATTACACGTTACTAAAAATAGTAATGATGACCTCCACTCAATGTAAATATCATGTGAGACCGACTTATCGAGAGTAATTTACATATATCCTAGAAGAAGGGTTGGCCGACTTACAGCTTATCGCGATTTTATATAGATTTACCGACTTATCAAGAGATTTTAAATATTGAAAAAAAGGGCTGAAAATTTTTGGCCGAGTTAGGCCAAATCCGACTTATCGAGTTTACCTGTGTATATACTCATATAATTTATTCAAATCATATTCATTTGAGCTTGCAGATCACATTCTAATTCGATTTTCACTAAAATTCGATTTTCACTTAAATTCGATTTTCATTACATGATAACAAGTAATATTAATATTAAAAAAAAACATCATTTCCAAATTATAGTTGTTCTCCGTATCCGTAATATTACGAATTTGCTGTATCCGTAATCCTGTAATGTCTTGATGTCTCCGTAATGCCGTTATTTCTCCATAATTCCCGTGATTCTGATTGGCTGTTGGTCTTTCGTTACACGTGACAATTTCTTCTGTCCATATGTTGATTACTAATATTAATATTAATATTAAAAAATATACATTGTCACACTAATACGTGCTATTCGCCACGTCCGTGTGAGATATATATACGATTTTACCATCATTTGATTTGTATATCCTTTTAATACAACTTGATATTCATATTTATTTTTCCATTTGTAACCAGCATTTGATAATTATGGTCTTGATCGAATTTCCAGATTATTTTTGGCATTGAAATTCGCAATTGATGACTTAAAGGAATTTTATAATGGTATTGATCGAAAAGCAGGGGTGCTGGAAGAATACAGTGGCGATCATCTATACTCAAAAGTTAAAAAATTTGAAATACCTCATGACACACGTGTCAGGATTTGAAAAGAATACCACCATTCGATTCAGCTTTAAAAAAGGAATCGATTTATGCAAAAAAATTTGTCTCAATTTTTCGCTGTATATCTTTTCCTAATTTGGATGTTAAATAAATGAAAAGTAAAAATAAGGAAATATATTAAAAAAAAGGTTTATAAAATTTCATTATAAATTTCATCAGGCACAGAATGGTGAGATTTGTATTTTTTGGCTGCGAATTCTGCTAACTTTCTAGTAACTCCTTTACTATAAATATCCATGTATCCAAGATTTCCTTGCAAATTTTCTTATAGTAATTAATGGAACAGAATCTAAAGCCTCTGGTACTGTTTTTTGTAAACCGGACCAACTATAATCACATTTATCTCTTATATCTCTTTGCAGCCCCCCAATATATTTTGAGGCATTTTTAAATTGGAACAATGTGTAGGATAGGATTAAACAAATTTTTATTTTTTTACAATATACTTACAGATTTGGTATTTCAACATTCATTTGTATAATAAAATTTTAATAATCTGTATAAATTTAGAATTGTTAGTAAAACCGTGACATTTATATTTTTATGGAAGAGAAAAGATCAAAGTTGAAACAATAATATTTATTATTCAGAAAATAAATTATTTGATTATAACAATGAGAATAAAAACATATTTTTCATTAAAATCGTATTTTTTTTTATTTGTTTAATAAAAATAATTTTGTACAACTCCATTATTATGCTATTCACATAATTGATAATATTGTTGAAATTTTTTTTACATTAAAAACTTTTAATAAAACTTATAAATAAGCATTTTCATTGAAAAAAATTTGTTACACAGTCTCAATTTTCATGTGTATAATAAAATGTGATTTTTAAAACACTAAGGCTCAACCAATATTTGGTTTAAGAAAAATCTAACCAAAGATTTTTGAAAACAAGGTCATAAACTATAGAAATCCTTGGTTAATTTTTTTGGAACATTAAAAAAATTTTTTGGGTTAGTATTTTAAAGTTGTTCGACTGTTGTTATGAGTAACTTTTGAGTATAGATGATCACCACTGTACCAAAAATTTTTCCCACATGTAAATACATTTGTTCAAGATGGAATAGAGGTAAAATTCATTTACACAGAACACATTTCTAGAGGTGTGTACAAGGCG